CAGCTGTTCTCGCTGCAGCAGTGAACGTGTTAACAGATTTTCGTAGAATAAAGAAAAAATAATAAGATAGGAGAATGAAAGTGTTAAACACGAGTCAGGGATTTTTTTCTTGAAAGACGGAAGAAAATCCAGACAAATTGTTTCTTATTTCTTCTGGCAACTCAAGATATATTTTTTAAATGTCACGAGCGCGAAAACAAGCAGAAATGTAAACTTGAAATTACATGAATTTTGTTCCACTCTGGGAAAATAACTTTTTTTTCCAAGCTCGCGTGTGCTTGTAGGATTTGAATATAAAACTAGCAGCTTCTGGTAATGGAAACATAGGAATTGTTTAAAATTCATGAAAAATTATGTTACTGCTTGACGTTTCGTTGTTAAAATTATATTTAATCTGCTTGTGCCTTAAAAATAAATATAAGTGATTTCTGAATAATTTCAATGTCTAAATGATATTTTTTTAAAAACATTCACAAACCGGTGACATAATTTCTGAGCGTCGATACGTATCGATGTCCAAGGGACAAAAGGGTATTTATAACGATCAGTTACTTGAAATTTGGCACGTCCGACAGAGGGATTTATTTCATCCCTCCAAAGGAAGGGTTGATACGTTCCACTTTCCCGACTCACTCGAAGTACACACAGATGAACGTGGAATGAATGACGGGTCTGAGGGATCGAGATTATAAATATTGATCTCTCAGCTTAAATGAAAAAAGCTACTCAAGTATTCTAATTATGAGAAAAAAAGTAGAAAATAAAAGTAAACCATTCATCCAATGTAAAGTTGTAACAGAAATTATTTTTGTACAGCTTTTATAAAATGCAAATTAAAGAGGAAGTTTTTTCAAATTAACATAATATACTGTATTACGTGAACAATAATATTACAGGAAAAGTTTACTAATTTCCTGAGGGTTTAAAGAGAATTCCATTAGTTTACATCCTTTAAATGTTTAATTACAAATAATAGCATTAATTTGAATTAATGAAACTTTTCTATATTCCAAAATAAAATAAGAGTGATTATTAAGAAGAATTCTATCAATATGGTGAATATATCAGCAGAAAAACTGAGCCACAGATAACAGAGAACCACATTGTCCTTTTGGACAAATATCGGTAGCAACAGAAACATTCTCTTATTCTCGATGAAAAATACATCCGGGAAAACTACTATATTTTCAGACGAAAGAAGATACGCTGTGTTTTGTGGATAGAAAAATTTCTGACCAAGAAATTCTCTGACACTCCTTCATTCGAAGGTCCTTCTTGTTAAGAAGTTTCTTTCGCCTCGACAGCAAAGCTACTTAATCGAGGAATCACGTAATTGCTAGCTCGGTTAAAATCAAGCACACTACACTTCAAGTAAGTGTATTGTCTCTTGTTCAAGCATCGGCTTCGAAAAATTTATCTACATTGATTTTTCAAGTGACAAATTAGCTTTGTACTGACAAATAATAATTTGTTTCATTTACGTAAATTACGAAAAACCATTCGCAAAATAAATTTACATCAACGTTCATGGGAAAATTATTTCTCCGAGCACTTTACATATTACCGCAGGAGGAAAGTAAAAAAAAAAAAAGAAGAAAAGAGTAGGATCGAGAGTACCATTTTTTCTACCTGATATTTGCATAATGCCTGCAGCATACCTGTCACAAATGGTTTTTCGATTTTTCAGAATCTATGCATCATATATAACCCTTCGTCAGTCGAGAGTGAAAAAAGGAAGTACCATTTGTTAATACCGACGAAGGTTATTGAAACCGTGACTGTTCATGTGAGATTCCGAATTAACGTAGTTGTAATTTATATTTCGTGGACGTCGAACGTGTTAAATGTTCCATCAATTTTTTCCCCGGTTACGTAAGTTATCCGAAATTACCCTGGTCGCCTGGTGCATTTATCTTCCAAGGGATTAGCATTTTACGAGGCTAAGGGTTGTTCCAGCTAATAAAGTTCATGAATTCGAACCTCGTGTAGGAGGATTTTGTAAGAGTACCGGTAGAAAAGTGGAAAAAATATGGTAGTAGATCAAAGAATTATTCCTGACATTTTGACAGAGTTAGCGATAGCAATGATCATTGGATATCAATTTCAATTTCTTATATACAGGGTGTATTTTTTACATTGGTTAAAATTAAAAAATGAAGTTTATTGCGAGCCTTCAACGACAGCGGATGATATGCGAGAACGTATTATTAGTGCATGTGCTGTAATTATCACAGAAACAGTAGAAAATGTTCTTCGCTCACTGATAATTCGGTTACGCAAGTGCAGCACTTCGAACACCATTTAAAGTAAAACTTGTTTTAAAAATATCTCGGTAATTATTCATTTTAAGTACCACTTTGTGTAATATCTTTTTACGCAAAATTTGATGATTTATCCTAATTTGAGAAAAAATATTAGATATTCCATTTAAAAAATTAAACGTGACTAATATCTTACTAAAAAAGTAAGGTAATGAAAAACCTTATGTTAGGAGACTCACCTTGTATAGTAAAATTATTCTGCTATACAATTCATGATTGTACTGCATTAATTAATCATGAATCATTTGGTCTTGGCTATAATTATTAGTCTAACTGAAAAGGAGAAGTAAGTATATTCAAATTGATCTTAATAATGCTAACCAGCAGCAATTATTCAGTGATACTGATTGTATCGTAACTTGCCAAGTTGAAAATTGCAGGATATATAGTCCGTCCATAAAATGATGGGTATGGGAATTTCTAGTTAACCAATTTATCTCTTCATGTATCATTCATAGTCCTGCGTTGAAATTCAGAGGTTAAAGCCATAGGAATACATGTCTCTCCTGTAAATTTAATTGATGCCGGTTATCTATCAACAGGATCGAACATTTTCGATTATATATTCTATTATTGTAATACGTAACTTTCGTTTGTACGTTAAGCTCATAATTCTTGTTCAATAAATGCCTGATTAAAAATGAATCGATCCAGTATTCCTTCCTGGTGACGGAGTGCTCCGGTTTCGATACTGTTCATCCTTTCCTAATTGCCATTAATACCGTCATATGGTACTTAACATATCAAAGACACATCTATCAACGTCATTGAGTAATTAACTGTAGCGAGTATGGATTTGATGCAGCTGTTAGTGTTTCCCATGAATGATCAGATAATTCTGAAACTGAGTTAGATAATCAGTTCTAAGATTATTTAGTATTAAAGCTAAATGAATTAATAATAAATAAATAATGGATGATATTCCACCAATAGGTTACTAATTTTTATAATTTCAAATAAAATGCCTGAAATCTGTAGTTTCGAAAACTTTGTTTACCCTCATAAAAATTTATTGCTTCATCCACCAGTAAAGGATTTTTTTATTTCAAATTTTCCTGCAAATATTGTCCCCAATAAAATAGAATAATCCAGCAAACAAGCCCTCGATTTTAACAAGCATTAATTGCTGTTTTATTGAACAAATATTATCGTTGTGCAATCAACGTTATAAGAAAATCAATAAATAAAGAAACTAATTGAACGGGACATGATAATAAACGACGAGCAGGATTATTGCATTGTACTCGACGTCCGGGTTGATACTGGACGTTAAATAAAAAATCGCGATTAACGTTCAAGGAAATTTGCAACGTGAAGAACAAATATAATTCAGTGTATATTATCTACCGCCCAACAAACATTGTACTTATCTGGATTATTTATGATGTTTTAGTACTATTACAATAGTGGCGGCACGAGATGAAAGTTAGCGTGTACTGTTCTGTATCACGGGTACAGCAAATAATTAAGAGAACATGATTACGAAAACGGTAAATTATTTATTTACTTTGGCGTTTAATACTTTTGAATAAGACTATATTCTAGCCAAACTAAAAGAACTGTGAATTTCCTCGCTATCATTAAATTTAAAAGCTGCAATTATTTCTGTCAACTGTTTCAAAGCGATTAATTAGAATTTCCCTTTTTACCAATTACAAATTGCTTCTCTTGGAAAAAAGGCGTTGGAAATAGAAGCGACTTTTTCGTAAGGAACATAGATAAATCAAGTCAGAATGGTTTAAAAGTATTCTGTGAAGAGGGTTTTTTTTTGCAAACAAAAACGAAGGAGCTTCCGTAATTAATTCCAAAGATTAATGGACACGATTAAAGTTCCGACATTCGATACGGTTTCCTTGCTCACGGTTTCGCCGATCGATGTTGCGTAACGTTAATTAATTAGCGGTACGTTCAATCGTTTCGTTTATCATTTTATCGCAACATCCTTACAGGGTCAACGATTTAATGATTTTTCTTTCAAATTATTTCCCATCTATCATTGGATATAATTGATTAATAGTGAGACACAAAGCGTTCTGCAGTTTTACGAGATATGTCATTAAATTACCAAGAGGTATAATCTTGTAACAAGTTATAAACAGTTATAATAACGGCGTTTTATAACATTCTGCACACACAGCCTGTTCCATAATAAAAGAGGATGTTTTTTTAAATACACAACGTTTACTATGATAATTGCAATAATCGTCCGCGAATCTTTCATAATTAATAGGTTGGGAAACAGTCGATAAATATCTTATAACCGAACACTTACATCACAACTCGATTTGTATGAAAGTCTGTAAGTTTCTGCATTTAAACCAGAGAGCCTAATTAAAGTGATACACTGTCGTCGTTAAAATGAATAATTAAATCACGGTTATTGCACACGATTTTTTTGTAAATTTGTAAAAACAGTTGGCTAACCAAAAGCTATTACATTTCAAAGTGGAAGTTCAAGGCTGTTACCTTTCGAAATTATACCATACCCTTTCGATTTGAAGCAGAAACCGGAAAGGCAGCAAACTAAATCCAAGATCAAGGCGCAGCCGAAGTAGAAACAGCCGTTCTCGCTTCGATAAGCATCGAAATCCCTCTACTCGCGTATCCTCTCGCGACAGAAATGACACTGGTGGGGCGGAACAGGATGTTTTGACCGCGGTCTTTCTTCTTCGGTCAGTGTGATTTCGTTCGTTGCGGTTCGCGCCTCTCGATTCTGAAAAAAAAAAAAATAGAATTTCATTACTATCGGTTCTCATCGGTTAATTCCCCGAGTTTGCCCTTACATAATTAACCCTTCTTCAAACAACGTTGAATCGACGGTAATTACCTTTGTAAGGTGAGTGTACGGCTTTCTGAGAACGTCAGGTAACGAGATATTATTTTAAGAGGTGTATGGTAGTTTCAAAGGTGATCGATTTCATCGAGTAAATTGATTACACTGTGAACGTAGCATGAAATTGTTTATCACCGTAATAATGAAATTTTTTAGTCAGTTTGTTCCTACTTGATCGTTGATTCGATGCTCCGTATAACAATTATGCAAATTCGAGAAAATGTTGGCTGGAAACCCTATCAAAGGAAGGAACACGGGGAACGTTTCGATTTCAGCGAGATATTCTAATGAAACGGAGACACAATCAGATGGGGAATGAAGTTTCCAATAAACGCCGATATGGCATCTCCGTTTCCACGGGATCTGGTTATGTTAATTTCTCACGATTCTACGAATCTCTGAACAGAATCCGTTGTCTGGAGCCACGTGTCGAGGGAAACAGTAATTTTCATGTCGATGATTATCGATGTCTCTTCGGTTGAATTGATACCTTGATGAAATTTCAATTACCGTAATTATTGCAAAATAATCAACAGATGCGTCGTCGGCGATATTAGAAATTCCATTCGGTAAAATAATTATGGGATGTAAAATGTCTTCATGGTTCGTCGAATACGTGTGATTGCGGTCTTTCACGCGAAACCCGAGTCACGACAGCGAACGCGTTAATTGCGTGATCAAATAGTAGTTAGGCAATTTTCCTTCTTCGTGGTTGGAATTGAAAATGTATCCAGTTCGATCGGACCTCGTGAAAGGAGCAAAGATACCGATCTTCAAGGTGATTCGAAACAGTCGTACGTCTCGATACCGATCGGTACCGATGATGTATGCATGTATTCGATATTATCTAACGACATTCGCCACCTTTTTCATGTTAGAGCGTTCGTGCTTCAAGGTCTGTCTCGTTAGTTAATTTTTCCACCGGTGAAAGTGCAACTTCCGTTATCTAAATTGACCGCCTACCTTAAGCGAAGAAACGTCGTTTCGTGATTTCGCATCGATGGAGACAAACTCGACCCTCCGTTCGTAGTTTCTTTCGCATCGGTCACGAGTCATTAGAAACATTCACCAGCATCGCATTAAGTCGAATCAACACCAGAAGGAGCGTTTAATTACGATCGACATTTTATTTTCGCAATAGTAATACTGAATTGAGATGAAAATATTTAATAACAATTACCCATGATTAAAATTTATATTGCTCCAGGAGCATCGGTAGAACGGAAATGTAATTAGACTCCGCTTTATTCGCAAATTAATTTAATAAATTCCTCCTGAATCCCACCGCTGGTTAATATCCGCGGAACTTGATTTCTGCTCAAATTCATACCGTTTCTGCAACTGTTCACCTTGAAATCGTCTCCTGGAATCATGTAAATGGTACAGCTTCTATCGGTGCGAGCATACATATTCAACGGGTTTTGATGTTGCAACACCGAAACAAATATACATAGGTTTCTCTACGCGTGTATTCCAGAGATTTCACGTCAAACAATAACTCTGTCGTCCTGTTTGTGCAATGGCAGTGACGCGATAGCAATTGCTATGATTCAATATTCATCTGAGAATAGTGATGCCACTTGCTCAATGCGGAGTCTTATCGAACGGAAAGCAGATACCGTTTTTAATTAATTTTCGAAAAAGACCAAGTGTCGTGCAGAGAATAAGCAATCGATTGAAAACCGTTTCATTTGTAATATCTCAAAGGAAAGCATCGTCAGACAGGAACTAAACTGGCTGATCGAAACGATACGTGTTTAAAATTACTTACAAATTGGCCGAAGTCAGAGGCAGACATTATTCTTAACCGAGTTAACGGAACCTCCTTCGGGGCCAGCGGTTGTTTTACACGTTTCTCGTTTCTTTCGGGACTCCTTCATTTCTCTTCTCCCGTCTATCGTCCATTTTTCAACGTCTGCCGTTGGTATGTGCTTTTAGCATTCCTTCCTCGATCTTTCATATCAATCACCGAGTCGAAAAACCGTCCTGTACATCGCGCATCCGCGAAACTTCTCGCTGAAATCTAACTGAAAACTCGCTGACAAGTATTTCGTGTCAATGAATTTACATTGTGATTTATCTGTGATTCCGTGATCTCGCTTTATCAGACTCTATCATTGTTCCATTCCTTTTCCTAGCCAAGTGATAAATCTTCGAAGGAATTCGTTGAGACCTGGTCAATATCAGTGCAACCTTCCGTTTCCTCTGGTTCTCACTCTCTTCGACTTCACCGACTGTTCTTGTTTTTATGATCGTACGTCTTTCTCTCCCCGGGCTCGTTTCCGTTTCCTCCGTTGCAATTTTTAAGTCTGTTCCCAGTGAAATACGAGCTGAAGGTTTTCTACGAAGCTTCGATGCGAACATTCAGCCTGTCCGCACGTATACACGATTTATTAATTCGATCGAACGTGCTCCTGGTTTTATACGACTGACAAAAGTCGAGGGATCATGAGAGTAATGTTAATTATTTCAATTACTGCTGTCTCGTATTCATACATTTCCTGGCTCTATCGAATAATAATTGCAATTTGAAAATTAATCATTTTGCAACAGAAAATTGTAAGAGTCGACAAATTCTACAAGATTTTTAATTATTGATCGTTTGCAATAATGAAAGCTATAGATATCTTTGGCACAATTTTTTGTTCAGCATAAAAAATACTATCAGAAACCATCATCTAACCATACCTTCTAATGAACATTTCTCTGCCTCCACCTACGGCATCAGTGTCCTTTGTGTCTCTGCGAGAGACTAAAGCACGTTTGTTCCATCAGTGGAACGTGCACAGATCGGTTATCTTATGCAGGTCAAACCATCACGCAAGTGTAACATTACTGGTAGGTAATGGCCGCTAAGAGAATTATAGGTCGTTAAAGTTTACCTTGACAAAGGGCTGACGACAATCAACAAGCGGTACAAATGATTAAACGTCAAATACAAACGTGCGGAACATCGGACACGGGGTATCCGATAGTCTTCGAGTGTAATTCCACAGCTAAACCGTTAATTACCATTCGGTTTCTCTTGCTTTCTCGTCGACTCTTTCATGAAATCGAATACAGATTTAAATGGACTGTTTGCATGATTCTACCCCGTTCTTCCCGCTCGTTTCTGATTACGTCATTGCGGTGGTCGGTGAGCAAAACTGCGAATTTAATTTAATTAACGCGTTAATTGTTACGGTGAAAATGGACGAAACTGGAAAATGGTAATCATAGAACGTTGGAATTTTAGAAAATTAGAATTCTGAAATTTTTAAACGCCTTCGCTATATGATCTCCACCTGTTTTTAATAAACTTATAAATGTCTGTTGCAGAGTACCGAATAAAACACCGCGCTCCATCAGCATTTCAGCCATTAATTATGAAATCAACGTCGCTTCCGGGTCCACGTCGACATATCCAAGCAATTTTGCAAACATTGCAGGAGTATCGTTAAACTATCCCTCTTGTAAGAGTCATTGATAAGCGAAGCATCGGTCGTATCTCGGCAATATTTCAATCAAGCTGCCAATAAATCTCATCATCCATCGCTAGACCCTCCATGTTTCTCTCTGCGTGTCACCTCTCTTCTCTAAACACGACTTTTTTACGAGTCCATCAGCTGTGCGGACGTACGGAAGCATCGCGCGATTTCTAAACTGAAATACTTCGTAATTAATAATAAATCATGGCAACGGAGAAGACGGATACCTTGAAACACTTCGTGAAAGTGAAGCCTGATAATCAGTTCAAGCCTTCGGAACGATGGCGAATAACGAGGAACGTTTTGGTGATCGGAACCGCGTTTATGGTGAACTTTACCGCGTTCATGGGGGCGACGAACCTCCAGAGTTCCATCAACGCTGATGATTCCTTGGGGACCTTCACCTTGGCCTCCATTTATGGCAGTCTGATTTTTAGCAACATCTTTCTGCCAACTTTGGTCATAAGGTAAGTCGTATGAAATGTTGAAAATTAAAGTGCAATGTTTTGCGAAAGACACATTTTTTCTCCGGGGAGACTTGAAATTTGTACTCATAGACACCATGAAGCCATTAAGAAGTAGCAACGTATTTAAAAGAGGGCGCGAATCACGAGAGCGCACCTTTCCGCTTCCCTTTCACGGCATTGTATTCAAGCGCGCGTGACCTGTTTACCCAAAAAGGGTCAAGCAGTCGACCAGCATTTATCTTTTGTATTTTTTAATCCCCCGCGTCGAGTTTCATCTCGAGCTCGAGCAAAACGGGAGAACCGTGGCATGAAATGAAAATAGTCTATTTTTTTTCTTCTCTGGGAAAAGAAACATTTCGGAAATCACAATTACTGATGATTAATCCATTGAAAATTTACGATCCTTTTTTCAAATCATACAAATTTTTTATCCTTTCGTGTGCAAAAAAAATTTCACGGATTAAATTTCCAATTACACTAATTAAGATTTTTAATAACCGTTATAATCATCAGAAATTGCTGAAAGAGTTAAATTAAATAAAGCATTGGAACGTATTTAACGAATTACGTTCAATGAATGTATGTACGAACTGCGAAAGCAGCGAAAGGAGAAATGTTAAAGAGAAAAATTGCAGAGAAACCTCGGAAAAAGTAGGTCAAAGTTGAAGCAGAATACAAGCATAAAATGATGTTATCCCATCGGTTTTCGTTGCAGCTGGTTGGGTTGTAAATGGACGATATCTTTGTCTATCTTAACTTACGTGCCGTTTATGGCAGCTCAATTTTACCCAAAATTTTACACGATGATCCCAGCTGGATTGATGGTTGGCATCGGTGCCGGACCACTTTGGTGCGCCAAGTGCACTTATTTGACCGTCGCAGCGGAAGCTTACGCCACTTTGTCGGATGTTGCTGCAGATGTGCTCGTCACCAGGTTTTTCGGCCTGTTCTTCATGTTCTACCAGATGGCACAGGTCTGGGGCAACCTTATATCTTCGGCAGGTACGTATAATCACCTCATTTTTTGCTGGTAACAGGTTCGAACAAAGGGATGTCAAAATTTTTCATTTTTCTATCAAAAGTTTGATCGATTGAAACTTTTTTTATCGAAAGGTACTGACGTTGTCGATATTCTACCTCATCTTTAGAAACAAAAAATTATAGAATTGTTTCAAAGTAATTTTAGAATTTTCAAGAGAACCTTGTGTCTTTTAAATAAAATTTCCAATCTCCAACTGAGAGTCTCTTCAGGTTCCTCTGGAATTCGATTGAGTATATGAATAATCGACAACAGGATTGAACACTTTTTTATCACGGTAAACTGTATTTCATTGTAAATCGTTAGCGACTTTAACGAACTCAATTTAATCTCCCTTAACCGGTCTCCGTTGAAATGCTTTGACGTGAAAGTAGTAAAAGTCTTCATGGCTCTCCTACCTTTCCCTTCAACTTCCAACTACCTTCTGTTTTTTTCTCTCCTCTTATCCTGAAGCTTGCTCGGCACGGTTTGCGCACCGCCCTCCAACAGACAAGGAAATAAAAGCTTTAATTGCGATGCAATTTGCCGTAATGGGGAACAATGTCGAGCGTGTTTCCTAGCGAATTTGAAATGGAACGGCCGGAGGGGGGGGTGAACTTTATCGTCAAAATGGAACGATCAAACAACGCGGACGGTATAAAGGTGATAAAGTGACGCCAGGATCTAGCCGGCGTACAATTTTTCTCCGTCAGAGAGTGAAAAATCCTCGTGACCGTGTTTTAGAGGGAAAAATTAATTAATTAGCTAGACACGGCGAACCTCGCTGCTGGTACTTTGCTTTCGCGCCTTCGACGACAAGCCTGCGTACTCTCTAAACCTCCGAGGCTATATGTCACGGTTATTTTATAATTCCTGACTAAATTGTTGACATTTTGGGGCTTCTGATGAAACCGTTCGTTTGAAAAATGACAGAAAGTGAGAAAAATAAAAGGGCGAATCTCCCAATGCTATTCATAATTATTAGGACACTCCTTTGTAATATCAATAATTATTATAATCCCTTTTTACTCTCTTTTTCCAAATTCGGTAAACGTGTTCAACATTCGATAAGATTGCTCGTATTCGATGCCACGGAATCTGTGTTATTCCACACGCGTCGATATAAACCTTCTTTATCCCGGGCAATCGTAAACCGAAGAAATAAGTGATCGAAGGAGTATAAAAGCATCAGGGGGTGTCGTAACCCACGTTCTTCAAGAGTTTTAACGACACCACGGATTGGTGTACTTCTCTGTCGACTCTCGTGGGGGATGACAGTCTGTTCCAGTTTATTTATGAGCCATCCTGAATGGAAGGGCGGAATTCCAAGATTCCGAAACTTTTAGCGTTTCCCCGATACAACGCGAAATCGCGGGACACCGAGGCATTGTTATGCTAAACGGGAAAGCATAGACCGCCGGGATGATCGGGAAATTCGAGCGTAGACTTCCACTTTAAAAACTTTCCGACATCTCATTAGAATCTCCGAGCATAATGGAGAAAATCGGGCCAGTAATTCTTCGTCCCTCGGAAACGGATCCTGATCCACAGAAGAAGAATCGAATTATCGTATTACGACGTTCGGATCTTTTGTTTGTCGAATAAATTCTTTCTTTAACTTTGCGCGATTAACGTAAAAATATTGCCACGTCTGGTCGAAGCTGTTTCTAACTATTCCTTTTCACAAAAACTTCTCAATTTACGGAGGTTCTATAAAACACGAGGGGAATTTTGAATTTTTTCCCGACATAAAAAATGTAACTTTGTAGTTGAAGTGTACTGGAAACAGTCGTTTCAGAAATTAGCGTTGAGCTGCTTTTAGCTTAATTGAACAAGTTCTCTAACGAGTTCGGAATTTGAATTTTAATCCTACAGAGGTTGACTTTATATTCGCTGTATTTTTGACATTCAATGAAGTCAAAAAGTTTAATGAATTTATCAAATTGCAACTGGAGTAACAGTCTCTTCTTGTTACGAGGGAAAGCCAATTTATTCTGCAGCCGATATCATTCGCTTTTGTAGAATTTATTTTCTTTCTCCAAATATATTATTGTTATCAATTATTTATGTCTGCAGTTCTTTCTTATGGGATGGATTCTGTACCAGTAAACACAACGTTAAACAGCAGTATTGTAATGGAAGTATGTGGCGCTAATTTTTGTGGTGCAACCTCCAACACCACCGACAGCCCAAAATTAGAGAGGCCATCGGAAGAAAGAATTCATCTAATTTCCGGCATCTATTTATGCTGCATGATTGTCGCCTCTTTGATAGTCACATTTGGTGTCGATTCTCTTTCAAGGTAAATAAATTAACCATTAAATCAATGGAATTTTGCGATCAGAAATAAATTGACCATCAAATTGATGGAATTCTGTAATTGATTGTAGTTCTGGCAATTAGTCGAAGCTTAGTTAATTGGTATTCCACTCGATATGATGTCGTAAAACTACGTTATTTTATATTGGAACCGTGGGATCGATGCAGTTCGTAATTGAAGCTTAATGGAAGAAATAAATATTTGCATTTATAATTGCATTATATTTTGATTTTATAATATCATAAGAGTATCAAGTTTTATAAACTGAATCCAGTCTGTTCTGCCCGGAAACCATCGAATTGAAAGTTAGAAGGTCTCGAAGTTCAGTAACAGCAAAGTTTAAGGATATAGGGTGAGAAGTTACTATAGATTCAGAATATTCGGAAGTACAGAGTGTAAAGTTGTAAAATTCACAACTATTTCAATCATGAATTACAAACTTGTTATTCCAATTCGAATAAACGACCCTAATATAAACCTACAACGATCCCTAATAATGCACACACGTCTGAAATATCCAAAAATCGTGTTCAATTTCTGCCAGTTACATTATTGACAATACTCCTATAAAACCTTCGAAGAAAACGTGTATGATTTTATATGGAAGCTGCTTTCAGAATTCGCGTTACGAAAATCAGTCTCATCAGTGAGTTATTGGAAAACGATATCGCGTATGAAAGTTTCAGTTGCATAGAAACGAATGGGTATATACGAAACGCTGAGTCTCACTCGAAAAAATACATATTCGCGTGATCGTGAATCGGCTAAGTGGAGGCGTATTGATAGGATCGACTTGCAACCGAAGCAGAACGTTATTGTCCCGTTTGCCATAAACATTTCGAGTACATCCAGATGTATCCTCGAGTCCAGAATTGATAGGACATTAAATCGCGACTGTAGGATACCGCGGGTATTGTTTCTCTTCGAAGAATTACGATCGGTTTGCTCTGACGATCAACGCAATCCGAAAGAAATCTTTGGAAATCTGTACGGTGGATGTTTTATAGCGAAGCATTAATATTGATTCGTTCGTAACCGGATAACATTAATTGCGTATCGATACTTTGTACAAGATGTTATGAGAGATAAAAATGGACGATACTTCCATTCTTTACGAGATGTTCATTTTAAATCGATCATCTGAATTTAACTCGATTTTCGCGTTTCTTCAGATACAACAAAGGAAGATCAGGTTCGGCAACAGGGCTATCAGGATTCAAGCTGCTAGCGGTGACACTGAAGCTCCTGAAAGAGAAGAACCAGCTATTAATATTACCAATAATAATATTCATAGGGGCTGAACAAGCGTTTTTGTTCGCTGATTACAATGCAGTGAGTGTCCACGTTCATCCTCTAATTTCTTATCAATTATTTTCTAACAATTTCTATCGATTTATTCAAGTCCTTCGTGTCCTGTGCATGGGGAATCAGCAACATCGGTTTCGTGATGATATGCTTCGGGGTGACGAATGCCATAGCTGCATTAGGCGCAGGATCTATAATGAAACTGACAGGAAGAAGGCCTCTAATGATATTCGCCTTCTTTCTTCACGTTGGAATTTTAGTTTTTTTATTGCGCTGGAAACCGACGCCAGAACATAATTATATGTTCTTCCTGATGTCTGGATTATGGGGTCTCTGCGATGCCATGTGGCTGGTACAAGTTAATGGTACGTATCTTTTGATTTCATATAAACGCGCTTTGAAATCAATACCGCTTCCACCATCTCCTGGCAAACGGTGAAACTAGCAGATCTAAAAATTTATTTTTTTAAAACAATACTATCCTTGAATGGTTCGATAGAGTTACACAATTCACAAATTACAATTCTGTACATTTTTTATTCTAACGCTTTGTTAAAATTATATTGTGCCTGAGGAACGTTTCAGTAGCGCCAGTGCAGTGAAAATTCATTTATTTGTTGCAATAATCTCCTTAGTCACTGTCAGATGGCAGCAATGGCATCATTTTCAAAATGCATCTAGATATATAAAATATGAAATTTAAAAATAAAAAATTCATTTACAGCTTTGTCTGGGCTGCTATTCCCAGGGAAGGAGGAAGCAGCCTTCTCAAACTTCCGTCTATGGGAATCTACGGGTTCGGTGATCACGTACGCGTATAGTCCTTACCTGTGCACTCATACGAAACTCTACTGCCTTATGGGGATCTTGGGTCTCGGAATGATCGGTTATGGTCTGATCGAATGGTCTGGGAAAGCTTCCAGAGTGATTCCGGAATCCAAACCGGACTTTGAATTGGTCGCGAATGGGGAAGTAAATGACACGTCGAAACTTTGAAGCTATCGAGCTGACAAATCTTCTTGAGTACTAAAAAAAAAAAAAATAATTATGTGAGCTCTAATGTGATCAATCTACAATTTCAATTATATAAATAACGTAGGAAAATTTGCATGTCGAGTCAAAGGGGTTGAAAAAATTTAAAGATTGATCCAGAGGATAGCATAAACGAAACACCTAAAGAGTATCATTTTAATTCAACAATAATTTAACGAAGTTATTCGAAAAACTCTCGTTGTAGGATCATGTAAATTATATATATATATATGTATATAATTGCGATATACATAGAAATCACATATAAATCAGATGCATATCAAAATTATATGTACAGAAAGAGTTCGGTTGGAGGCGCAGTCAGGACCTGAAGGTACGATCATTGTTGTGTGATTTGTACCACAATATATGTTTTTATTTTATTCTTGTGGACACCTACTAGATTTTACACAGGTATTTTTTTCGCTTAACCGCTAAGATTTCATCTCCGTTTCTCCCCTTTCTTTTTTTTTTTTCTTTAAATACGTATGTAATTTAATGGTACATCGTACGTGTGTGTATGTGTATGTACGGATGTGTGAATGTGTGTGTCTAGGTGCTAACATTCAAGCTAAAGCTACGGCTGCTTAATTTAATTGTATACTTAATGTGCTTAATTGCCTTTCACTTGTACGCGTGTTCTGTTACGTATTCACATATTCATGTACATACGTATGCCTGTGTGTATGTATGGTGTGTCCTACGTGTCCTTTTTTTCCCTTCTCGTACTTCGTTTATTCGTATGCTCATCGTATGTTGTGCTGTCACGATCAATTGTCCCCCGTCGAAGACGATGGTAAACGACTGATTAATTTCCTTTATTTCATTTCGTGCATGCCATTCTCTACGGTGATTCCATTGAACGAATCATCGACGAATCGCGACGTGGAATCAATTGATCCTGCATCCGGTTCGCTCAGAATTGTCCAATTGCTGATTGTATTTGTGAATCGTGTTTTGCTAGCTTAAAACCCTCGTTTATGTACAATTCAAGTTTCTTGCAGTTCAGTTTATATACTTTTATAAAACGTAGTAGGAACTTTGGTTTCGCTGAGCAATGTTTCAGAAGCAGTTTCCATTTTATTCGTGCCACGAACTTCATCTTTTCTTCGTTTTTTTTTTTTTCTCGTTTTTTCCATTCAAACTTTTGTGTCTCTATATCGTATCATTCTTTGTTAAATTACACTTTGTATTATTAGCCTGACGTATTGTTCGCGATTTATAATCTGTCCGGACTCGTAATTCGACCGGAAACTGCTATAAAACATTCGCCCGTGGATCTATCTTCCTTAGAAATATGACACTCACGAATACAATTCACGTATGTACTTTTTTTTGTGTGTGTTTCTTTTAATACTCATGTTATTTGTTTTTTGTTTTTCTTATATTTCCGTAATCATCTATTGAATATCAATTTTTCCACGAAGAAAATACACATGATTCATAAATCACACTCTCTCTCCCTCTCACTTCAATTTTATTTATTCTCTCAACATCCATCGCGCCATTCTCCCCCTTCTTTTATAACAAAATTTAATAACCGGAATATCTCTGTACAAACACTTTTTTGCATCTCTTTCATCGTTTCACCTTCTATTAAAAAATCTAACACGAACCCACCCTCGAAAGATCAAAATTTTGAATTTTGAAACAACTTACCCTTCGATCCAACCCCTTCAATCGTATACCATTCCATCGTTTTATAATACACCGTATCCATGTCATTCCTTTATTTTTTCAGAAAAAACATCTGCTTTCCTTCGTGTCTCCCTTTCCGTGTTTACTTTAGGAACAGATCAGATTTAAATCGTACCTTAAACAGTAGAATGCCTTAACGTACTCGTTTACCCTTAGAAATTTATATCCGCTTCCTTGTCACCCTTATCCCTGTCATTTTTTTCACTCCGACTTTAATTGATTCCTTTACTGTGAATCATCCACGTCGTTCCAGCTATTTTATAGCTATGTACGATTTAAAAAGTGTTAGACTCTTACAATGTTACAGTCCCTAGGTGTCGCCTTAATATGTACACACGCTCCTAGCTACCCTCCCCCTTAAAGGATCTCGTGGTTATAATAATTGTATAACGGCTATACTGTATACAGGTCGGCAGGAAAGTAGGGGGTCAAATTTTGGTAATGTATTTTAATCCTAAGGGTGCAAAACGTGTAGATTTTTATGAATTTTCAAAGCGCAATTAATCTTACACAGAGTAGATAAAAACAAGGTGAAAAATCAAATATAAAAATTACGAATACATGAAAGTGGTCATTAAAGTGTTAAGATGATGATTAGATGAATTAACTTACGATATCAAAGTTTGGAAACTTACTATCCTGTCAGCCTGTATAGCCAATTATAAACGGTCTGGGTTATCGAAGTACATGTGTGTGTATATGTATGAACGTGTAAGTGTATATGATGTCTGTCCCTCTTTCGCTGCTCCAATCATACTGTGTTTCGTTAATTATACTCGAGCTTGAGATATTAAGAAATCGTGTCGTACCATTTAATGGGATGGGTGTCGCCTACAGTATCGTTTATTACGCAAGGAAGGAAAAATGTCGATAGAAGGTGTGTGTTTCGATCGATCGATAAACGACCGATCCTGCCTTTCATTTAGGACAGACGAAAGTAAGAGTTTGTTCGCTGGAAGCGGAACACATTCAAAGAAACTCTATTATTCACTATCGATTAACCGGGAATACATGAGAGATATATCCTTGTGGGATGGTCGATATTTTAAGCTTCTTGTTATCGTATTATAATTTTTATTTATTTAATCAGCTTTCCTTTACCAACGAACCGTTCCTCTGGATGCGTAAATATGGAGATTCGTCCGTGGAAATTGGAACCTGTCTCTGTCCGTTCCGTTTCCTCGCGTTTTCCCCCTAAAATCACCGACCTAGCGGAATTATCTTCCGTACTATATAATTTGCAGTCGAAATAGTATATTTGCTGTTCATTAGTGTAAACAGTATAAACCGGAAATCGTGTTTGTTATCCCTTATAGAAACGACCAATTGCCTTGTGACGTTCAATTTCCTTTTGATCCAAAAGGTAAGAGACATTTACTTTCCCGTATAAGTACAGCAGCGAGCAAGGTAGGCTTCCCTAAGGAAAATGGCAATTTTGGAGAAGATCTTATAACTGTAATACTCGAGAGTTAGAATGCATTATGCCTAGTTGATTTGGGACATTTTTGTACTCGACAAGTAACAAAATTTTTCCGAGTGATGGCGCTACCTAGGAAAGTCTATCATGCTAGGTACTGTACAATTTCGTGTAACTTAAACTTCCTTTTGTTAAGGGTAAGTGCAGGGAAAGAATGATCCATCATTTGCCTTATTTTTTTACCTATGAAAGCAAATGTCGAGAACCTCCGCTCCTCCACTTCTCCCCTTAACCGAAAGAAGCCTCCGTTGCCCCCAACTGTACATCGATTGCAAATTACCATGAACGCGGAAACGGAACGCATCCAATCTATCGTCAGCGGGCTAAGCAAGATCGAACATTTAGGAACGAAAGATGCGTAAACGTTTAATACGTATACCTCGTATATGGCAGACTATTACGGACTAGTGATTTTTTTTATTTTTTTACTTTTTCCATGTTACTCCTCGGTATGACCTGAAACCACCTATTGGAGTAGCTTTCTTTTTTATATCCATCTGGTTCGAATAGAATTTTCGGCATCAGGAGGATTAATTATACTTTCGAACACGTTATTGCGTTAATTTTTTCTTTTTAAACTCGCTACAGATTTCTTCTTCTTTCCCCCCATCGAAAAGTCAATACACGCGTAACATACAGACGAGCGCACACCCAGAGAACAATATGGTTGAAACATTTGATCTCGAACGAAGCCTGCGATGAAGTGGTTTGTTGTCGTTGTGTTCCTCCGGTAGAAAACGAAATGAAAAATCTTGTGTGATGATCCGTTATAAACGATAGGCGGCGTTACTGTAAAACATCTCCGTTGCTATTTCATGGACAAATGAACTCGTATCCCTGTGTGAACGGTATTGTGAACGGTACTGTTGCTGTTGTGGTTGATTGCTCTCGTTGCTTCAACTATGTTCTTCTTTTCTGTGTGCGAAATAGACTGGAACGTCTATTCCTCGATCCTTCTATGTTCCAGGTTCGGTCACGTACGTATTTGTCGTACGATTCCTCGTTTTGTGCTTCGTCCGGTTGGTTCCACAGACGGACGATCCTCATTTAACTGGAAACTTTAATGATCGTTTCACGAGTTAGCGTTTATCTGTGCGATTACTTGCGGAATTTACTTATCCTAATTTGACGAGTCGACACGTTGATAATCGTCCTTTGATTAACGGGTCTAACTGCGCTTCGGTAGTTTAAAAAGCCCGCTGGATCTTCTTTACCGTAGACTCGTAATACTGTTGGACCGTCTGTCGATGATGCAGCTATTCGTCGTTGACGACGAACGAAACCGTCGTGTACTACCGTCGATAAATTGTCCGATTTTCAATCAGTTCCTATGAAACGAAGACGGTAAACAGCGCGATTATCTTAACGCTCGACTCCTGTACATCACATTAGTCACATAAGGTTAAAACTATTTACAAATAGGTCTCGTATACGCTTGCGATCACAAACGATCTTTACATCGATCGAGGGTAGCGGCGTTTCAAAAATTCTCGCCCTCCGACCGCTGGGAATGGCGCGAATTTTCAAGCAGCTCCTACCAAACGCGAGTATTTGTTTCTATTAACGCGACACTATAAATTCCATCGATGAATGTCTCTCGTGGAGCTGTTGCGTAAATTCGAGTCCTTAAAGCTTTTATTCTTGTTCACTGGTTTCGTGATCGATAAATCTTTTTCAATCACTGTGCCTCTTACGCCACGCTCTTCGATAACGACCTCAGCGTGTTCTTCAGGGACTGCCTTTTGTTGCAGAACCAAATCCTTATCACCTCTCTGTCGTATCCGAGACGCTGAGCTATGTTCGTTATTTCGTTACCTGAAAAATTGATCAATTATGATTTTAAACAAATTTTATAAATTGTAAAATTTCCTTGCCACAAAACGTGTTAATTGAAATTGTTTGATGAAAAAGGTAGGAAGAAAAACTACCATTTGGATGAGTGTTCCTGTCGAAATGAGCGTTCAGTAATTCCAAAGCTTGCGGTGTGAACGAGGTTCGTCGCTTTCGTTTTTTGCTGGGTTCAACGCCGATGAAATCCGTCAGATGATTCACCCCGCTTTTGTACCTGTAAGCAGACACACTGTTCTCGCTCGTATCCACCTTGTTAACATATTTTAATGAGCTAATAAAAGGGAGAAAGAAAAAACAAGAAGAACGAGAGGAGCACGGAAAGCGTTCAATTTTAATCTATCCACCCAATTATCTCCCGAGTTATTCCTTTTACAGAAAATATTTCAAACGGACTTTAATGTAAAAAAAATAAACACTACAGTTAATTTTTTATTTCAAATGGTATTTCATGTAAATGTTAGACCTTACTCAACATATATAAATGAATAACATATATGAAAAACATCCCCGTTCGACTTGGTATAAGGAAACCCAATTTTAATCCGGCGCCCGTGCAAATACCCCGATCATGCTCTAATCAAATATTAAAACAAAACACGCAAGCGTTGGTCAGCCGTGTGTTAACTCGGCAAACTTTCTCTACGTCAAAGCTCGTCCCATGGAAAACGGAAGCGGCGTTGTAAACAGAAGAGGAAAGAGACGAACGTGGAACGTTCGTAGACTGATCTAGTCGATCGCCTTCGTTCGGAAAAACGACGAAGACTCGTTGGAAAAAGGTAGAGGAGGAAGAAAACTGTTTACAGGGCATTCATCCCCAATGGGCCAGCGTGGACGATGAATTTTCCCGAATGGAACGCGACGTCGCCGGGCACAAATGAAATTAGCGATCGAAGCGTCGCGGCGGCTTCGAAAAAAGCCCGTAACCGTAAACAGGAGAAGTTCCGCCGGGAATCGCGGCTAAACGAGCCAGAAGGGTGGAAGGGTCGCCGGCGTCCCGACGCGTACGAGGGGGCGTAGTACGCGGACACCGCCGCGGAATTTATGTTTTTAATTTAACTCCGTATGACCAACTGTCGAGCCACGCCGAAAAAAGTGCGGGCCCGAGCCATTAGCATCTCTCGCGCGGTGATATTTCGTCGAATCGGCGAAAACAATATGCTAATGGAGAACCGGACGAAGAACCGATGCTTCGGAACAGAAGGGGTGGCTGAGGCGAGGGGTGAAAACAGATACCGTCGACGATTAAAAATGTGTTTCTCTGGCGTTTAACGTATGGAAACGAATGATGTTTGGAAGTAATGATCGGATAGACTGATTTATACGACTGGTAGATTAAACGTTTGCCAGGGAGAAATTTTCTTAACGCTAAACTTACCACGCTTGGTTAAATTAAAAATATAATTTGTCAAAAATGCTGTGAAAAAAGAAATAAAATAATTATTATTTAGATCTTAATATAAGAAAATATATTTTTCTTCATTTGGAATAGGAATAAGTATACACGAAGTATCGGTAGGTTGTGTTAACCCCTTCGCTACGACCGAAAATTTTAATAATATTGTGACTGTCGTAATAACTAAATATTAACAAGAATTTCTGAGTGTTTCATATTATTTCCAATAACCGTGCTATATTAATATTAACACGGTTTACCGATGATTTAATTACCGATTCCAGAAACAAACAAATTTAATATATTGACAAAAAAGCTTTTTGCTTCTGGACAATGTTGTTCAAAGTACACGCTGCATAATTAAAATTAACCATACGGTAGATTATATTTTTCCTACAAAGGTGCTTTATTTTCGGTACAGCACAGTGTATTGATTGCTTTCCTGTTATTGGCCCTGTGGCTTGATAAATGTTCGAGCCAACTGACACGCCGAAATGCGAATTCGATGATTAAGAAAATATTAGAATCTCCTGGTTACAGAAAGATAAAATTCAATATCTGGCTGTGATCAAAAGGAACATATCTATCGAATTCAGCACGGATTACGTTTTCAATAATCTTAATAAACGCGTGCTCGCGATAATAAATGAAATGACTACGAAATGATAAACGTACGCTTACAAAGGGAACGTTATTAAAACGCGTGCGTTGGCAGCGAGGAAAGCCGCGACGACGAAGAGGGACGAGGAGGACGAGAGAGAATATCAAACTGGCGTCGAGGGTTAGCTCGAGCACGTATTCCAGCACAGGTGAGAAGCCAAACGAAAAGGTAGAAGGGAACAAGCACGGCTAACGACGAACAAGGACACCGCTAAACGTGTTCGTGAGGTTTAATCCACGAGGGTAAGAGAATCAGAGAGTGTAAAAGAGGAAAAAAATTAAACGCTGTCACGAGAAAGAAAGAAACTTCCACTTTAATATTTCCCATAGTCACGTCATCTTCAAACACTAATTTCTCCCTGAAACGATTAACAATTCCTATGGGAAAAACACGATATTAAATATTAATCCCTTCAGGAATAGAAAATTCATTCGGGGGAGAGTCAATTTTACACAATTGAAACTAGTACATCTAAATTTTTTCAAGATTACCTAAGAACTTCAGGTATCGAAGCAGTAGTCTGCGAGGAAAGAGAAAATGGAGACAAACGACGGGAACGAGTAGAAAGAAGGAAGTGTTGGCGTGGGTGTACCAATGGAATCGAGCAGGTATTAGCGTGTGGGTGGCAGAGGTAAGAGGTAAAAGCCATGGAGAAAGAGGAGAAGAAACGACAGAGTGTAAGAGTGGGAGAGGAACAGCAGGCAGGAGGGGTACATCAGAAACCTGATTTTAATTAGTCCACAGTTTAATTACTCGGCAGATAAATCGTGCACGTGCACCGCATAAACTAGCCGCTTTCATTTTTCCCCGGACGCGGCCGGCACGGTCGCGTTTACCTCTACGCCGCGAGAATGCGGGATGGGTCATTGTTACTAGCTCGCTTTCCGCTCGCGGAAAGAGAAATGACCGTGGTTAAACCGTCATCGAATCGGTTGAATAATCGTCGACTAGCTGACCGGTTTGAGACTCTTAATCCTTCCATGCCGAGGCTTTCTTTGAAACTGAGCTGGAGGTGAATCGTTTTTCTTCGAAGGGTGGTTAAAAAAAATATTTAAAGGAACAGTGTAAATTTTAGAAAATAAAAACAGTATGAAATACAAAATTAATTTAAAATTCAGACTCTCTCCATGGTCCGCCATCCGAGGATTAATTGTATCCTTCTAATGTATCTTATTAATTATCAATAAACATGGTAAAACTCAATATCAATTTCAATGATTATTCAAAGAATAAATTTAAAAAAATAAAAATAAATTAATACATCACCATCGGTAAATTGAAAAAGCAAAAAAGAATGATCAGAGATTGCGGGATAAAACGCGTTATCAAGAGCGAAGTCATTAAAACGGGAAACGTTTCAGTGTCGGTAATACCGCTGGTGGATGATTCGCCACGCGAAGGTGTTAATGCACAGTCAACAAATCATTTTGTTCGTTTTGGGAAAATCTGTTGACGCTACGCCACGGGAATGCGGAATGGGTCATTGTTACCGGCTCGGCCGCGGAAAGAGAAATGACCGCGTGCTCCTGTCATCGAATCATCCGGTTCACGGTCGTGATATGTATATACACAGCCGCGTACGTTACCCTATATAAAACCGTGCGTGTGTGTGGTTTTTTGCATACACTATCCGCACCGTACATACACGTACTTTCCGCGCTTTTACCGACAATAAAACGGTGTCACGGTGAAATCGAAACTATAAACCGTGTTAGGTGTCGGTCGCTCGTAAAATTCGCACGATCGACGCCCTTAGATTGTTTTACCAATTAAACGAGCCTCGTTCGATCAGAGAATATGATCAGGAATAATAATCGAGAGGCAATAAGATCATACGTAGAATCAAGAATATAAATGCACATTTAGAATCAATATATTAGTTTAAATTTAATTTGTACCAGATATGTTCATTTACAATTACAACTACGAAGCAAAGTATGAAAAAGAGAATCGGTAAGAATCGGGGTGGGAAGACAATAAATCGAAAGACAGCAGGACGTTCGTTATGAGGTCGGTCGTGTCGGCGACCACGGGCAAAGGATGAATTAAACTTTGAATTTCGCTAATTACAGATCCTGATACAGAGTTCGCAGAAAATTGAAGTGGCCTGGTCTGCGTGTATTCGTGAACAAGGCAAAAGCCGATATCCTCGAGGAGGAAGCCGATAGGCGACTTCTTTCGCGACACGAATAAAACCGCCGATACCTGTATCGGCCTGAGCACCGTCCCGCTAACGGTTTCCCCCATTCTAATTAACATTCCGCGTATTTATTAGACGCGGATCTGCAATTAATCAGGTGGATTCAATTAGCGAATTACCAATTAGCACGCACGCGTTCACACGCTCTCGGACACCGCTTCAGATCCTGTTGGACGATTACGGAATAATCGTGTTCCATGAAACGGCGACTTTAAAAACGATCGTCTTGAACTATAATTCTAATATTCTGAAGATTTAAGATACGAAATGTTTGGAAATGATGGATCTTCTTGAACAAAAACGAAATTCATGGAGGAGGGTTGAATTTTTATTAAATAAACTCACCTCTCTTCAGCCTCTTTCATCCACCTTTCGAGGACCGGCTTTATCTTTTGCGCGCTCTTTGGCGTGATGTCCAACTTTTCGAATCTAGAGCCAACAATAAGTTATGATTCTCGTTCTCTCTGTTCGCGTTTTACGAACAGACGAACTCGAAAAAGATACGATTCCACGCGGAAGACGTAAAGACGTGATTTAAACAAACTCTATTTAATTTCAATTTCATCCCTTGATGATTACTCGGACATTAAATTAATTTTAAAAAATAAGAGTCGTCACTCTATTAATATTTGAAATCATTGTTGGTCACGAGAAAAAAATTTGATATTTAAAAAAGTTTCTGGCCAACCCTTAATCTTTTCCTCGTTCATTCTCAGTGAAAATTGAAGAAAGACAGGTCCATGAAAATTCGTCTTTTCGTCTTCGGCTAAAGGAGCACTAAGAGGCATGCATTGACTCAAAAAACAGGACATTGACAATGCGTGCATGCTTAGAGGTTTTGGTGATGCCGTGTATGATGTTGCCAACGCGTTTGATCGTTCTAAACGAGACACGTTATTTGTTCAAGAAAAACAAGATCAACGACTAGAAACATGAAAATCTAAGCAACACATTCGACGGACGCCAAAATTTAATAATTTTTTTTTTCTCCTTTGTTCGCGAGTTGGCGACATCATGCCCAAGTTTGCCAATGCCCTGGCTCGAAGAAAATTCGTTAACAAGTGCTCCTTTCGCATCTGATTTTTGCCAGAAACGGAGTTAGAAATTAGTTAAGAGTGCTCGCAGCTATACCCAAATATGTCCCATTCGCAACTATCGTAACGTGAGATGATCGGTAGAGAATCGATGACGAACGAAGGAAGAAAGATAGATAGAAAAGGAAGACACAAGAAAACTTTGTACCGGTTCTTGTTAACGAAATAACGTGATTAACCTTTTGTAATTTGGATCAACGAAGTCTCGCATGCTTGGGTATAACTGCTATCCTTCGAGAGGATTTGAAAAAAGTTTTTAGATCTTTAGGTAAATTAAGTAGAATGAGGGGTGAACGTACGTAGCGTGCTGCTGAGAGGCAATCTGCGTGGCAGCGTACATCTGGGTAGCCAGGGCACTGGGGAACAATCACCAATGCTTAAATTAGTCGTTACGATAAGAACTCTTGGATCTAGAAACAGTGTTTCTACTTGCCACCGGCATTACCACGATGGTTCCTCCCGTTCTCACGGGGCAAACATTGATCATTATTTAGAAATGAACATTCCTCCTCGGAGAAATGAATTTTTCGAGGAACCACCGTGGCAGATCACACATTATACATTTCTCAGAGAGTACGGATCGCGTGAAAATTCAATAACGTTCTGTCAGGGATCGGTTAATTCGATGTATTGCTAATTGAACGCGGATTCAGGGATATACGGTGTTAAAGTTTGATCCTTGGTCTAGAAATGTATAGGAGGTAGATATTTTATTTCTATTATTTTTCCCGGCCATTTCCAGTGACCTGGCACACTGTTGTTAATGGTAACCTGTATCGTTTCGATTCGGTTCTCATCAGCGACGTCCGTTTGAAGTTTATCAGAAAAAGGAAAGGAAAGATACGTGAATTTCACACTCACCTGCATATGGCACTTTGGCTGTAAGCTGGCCCCTCTGTCACGCTCAGGGCCTGTCCGACCTGGGTTTGCGTCAGACCCAGGGATAATCTACGGAGTTTGAACACCTTCGCGAACTCTTTGATCTCCTCCAGATTGATCCCGTCAACTACGTTGTTCGTGGCCTCGTTAATTGTCGGCTGATCTGTAATTAATATCACAAAACGTGTTTGTTTGAAATTCTGTTCGAGGAAAAAAATTTCCTACGATCGGACCGACCCTGTATCATAATTATTTTCATCGCGCCAATCAACGCGTTTAATATAGAGTCCGAAGGAAATTGATATTTCGAAGAAAAGTCGGATACAATGGATTCCTCGGAATGTTTCGCAGTTCCAGCTGTCTAATGACATTAGGCGGCTTCGTTAAAGCAGCTTCAGCTACACCGATTTCTCTCATAAATCTATCACCCCGAATGTACACGCATGCAATAGAGGTGCCCACATACTCCGCAATCTCGACCAGTTCGCCTGGTTTCTGCATCGTGCAATAAACGGCAAATCCTTCTTCGCTGGCACCTTGTTTCTACGCTCGTTAATTATCAATCGAACGTGCCATCCTTCTCGTACAAAAAAACACCGAGTTGCTTGACTTTCTCGAGTGTCGTTTACAAAGTACCCTATTTCGACGAATGTACGGATGACATAGGTAGAAAGAAAATTTTTTAATCATCCACGCACGTAGTCTATCAAATCTATCAAATTACCATAAGTGAAAATAAAAAGTACCACACCTACGCGGTGCGTTGAACTTACATAGTGCCTACTCGAACGATTAACGAACTAGTTTGAACGTTTCAGTAAATCAAGTTTCCTCATTTTTCACGACAGATCAATCAGCAATAAGATTGAGCGGTTTCCTCGTCGAAAGACAACGAATTCATTGCTTCTAATTCTGTTGATTATCAATAGCCGAAGATAAACCGTTTCCTCGTCAAGGACAATTGATCTTGATTCGCGTGCCGCTGTTAATTCAACGAACATCGAAATTTTCCGAAGCAACAACTTTGTAATAATAAGAGCGCTCTTGTAGAACAACCATTTGGAATTTACACTCTATTGTCGGGAGGAAAGAAAAACGGCGTGCGTGTCTTACGAAATTCACGAATGCTCGTTCAAGGATCCATCGAGGATAGGTTAACAAAGATGCAGATTTATCAAGCAACGCGGCAACTGGCAGCAGCAATTGAGAATCGTTAGGCTCGTATCGGGCCGACGATTATTCTATCGAGCGTGGATTGACGAAGTGCCAGCCCGGGCAATGATTGTGAATTATTAAAATTATTGTCTGGAGGTTACGCGCATCGTTGGAATGTTTATGGCTTCCCAGAAGGCAGCAAGGAACTAACTAATACATCGTAATGAGACGAGCATTCTACGATATCCTATTAGGATTATTAAGAGCTCCGCGCGGTTCGCCTCCATTATTATTTACCAGCTTTGACCGTGCGCTTAATGTTGAATTCGACGAAGGAAGGAAACGCGATTCGAAGCAACCAGCCGGCAATGCTTGAATTTGTAATATGCTACAAGAGATTCTTGGAGGTGAATAAGATTATTAGAAAATTTTTGGGAAAATTAGAAAAGTTTAGAAATTGAAATTTTCAAGACCAAAGCGTTCCAACGGTGTCACCAAAAAATGTCAAAATGAATTTGTAATATGCTTCAAGAGATTCTTAGAAAATTTTTTGACAAAATTAGAAAAATTAGAAAAATTTAGAAAAAAGAAATGTATCTTACTGGGCGAATCGTTCAGATCATCCTCCTCTTCTTTCGAACTGTGCATGCTACTGGGGGACGCTTTCACACCGACACCACTGTGTCCATGCGTGGTCGTGATAGTGATTTCCCCGTTGCTGGCCGCCAGTCTGTTCAGGGCCGATGCTGCGGATACCACGGACTCGTTCAAAGGCGACGATTGCTCTGGCCTCTCTCTGTGATGCTTCTCCGTCGGCTGCGAGGGACACGGGTGTTAGTAACGGATTAGTAGCTCAACCAGCAACGACAATGCTCCTCTCTTCCACGCCAATTATACACTTAATAATGAGACCACGGCCTCTCTTTCGATCGGGACACTTTAGAGTCTAATTAGTGGAAGAAACGACGCCGCGGAATACTTTCTTAACGAGATCGCTTGCTATCGGGGAATTATTCTGCTTGTTCCGTTGATCTTGCGCTGGTTAAGCCCTTCCACCTTCCGAGGGACCATGGTTACCTCGTATATCGTCCACCAGTTACCCGGTCGTTTATATTGTTACGGGACGACGGGGGTGATTGTAGGACCGAGGGCATCGAGAGGATATCGGAAACGAAGCGGTGTTAGTTATTGACGAAACCGAGGTAAATCAAAATTCTTTGATAGAGAACGAATGATTATTGAACCGAACGAAATGGATGATCGATTCGAAGAAAAATATTAACAAGTTCGATTAATATTTCAATGGTCTTACGTTTCAAAAATATTGATAATTAATTTAAATCACGCGGTCGATATCGAATACTCCAATTACGACGAGCTAATATTTCACGAAATCAGGACCTCGTGTTTTTCAAAGTGCTCTCGTGTAAGCGTAGAAAAGGCGCAAATTATTCCGTTCCCGAGTAATCACCGGTCTACGTACCGTGTAGTGATTCATGTGAGAGCCGTGTCGATGGCCGTGTTGCTGCGGCGACGTCGTCAGAAGTGGTTGCTGAGAAGCCTGAGCAGCCTGTACCGCTTGTGCCGCCTGCGCCTGAGCAGCCTGCGCAGCTTGAAGCAGTTGCTGTGGTTGCATCGCGTTCAAAAGTTGCTGGCTGGCCGAGCTGTTGCTCAAAAGATGAGGCAAAGCGGCTGGATTTAACCCTAGACCCGATGCTAAACTAGGACTTGTTGGAACTGGGACGAAGAATTCATTATTTCTATAGTCCCATTATAAAAATAAAAGCTTGAAACTGTTGAATGACTAATTTAATTAACCTGTAAAATCGCCATTACTGGTCGGTGTATTCAGCATGTTCTGAGGCTGAGCGATTGACTGAAGATTCGCCAGGGTGGTGGACACCACCTGACCATTACTGAGCGCCAGGTTCACCATCTGATTATTCGTTACATGGCTGACGGGGATGGTGAGGATGGTCTGTGTGGCGATTCCTGATTTAGAACAAAGGAAAAGAAGGCTATTCCTGGATCCAACAACAGTCGATGGGTTAGTTGATAATACCATCTCGGTCAGGTCTCGTACGAACGTGTCTCGAATCAATAGATACTTCATTTCCATTATGAACGTGGTTGATCCAGGAAGGGTAGTAAAGTTATCAGAGTCTCATAGAGGGATTATTAGGCAACCCATAGGGCAGGTAACCTCGTAGGCCAGCGTAGTTGGCAAACTATTATCGTCATCTTAATAGTGGGTACAGGTACTAGCACTGGACTAGGCTGCGAGAAGGACGCCTAATCATACTTAGAATAGTTTCGGGATTACCTCCAGCTCCACTAATCTGATTACCCTGTACACGCGCTTAATATGATTACTGATCATGAGTACGTACCCGTGTTGGTTCCTATAGCTAAGCTAAGCAAATCCCGTATTCCGAACAGCCATAAAAGTTTCCCGTTCTGAGGTGAGGTCAACTGACAATCCGATTAACGTTCAGTTTAAACGATATTCGACGATAATATTCCACGTACTGAAACCAATTCCATTTTTTCTTTATTCCTCCCGATCAACCACGAACGATGCCCTTTCTCCCTACGAGTATAATTTCACGGTACTTCTATGTCATCGTATCCTGAAAGACTTTTTACATTTTGAGGTCAGCAATTTGGAAGTGGCCCAGTAACCCCGATAAACGAATCAAAAACGTGAAATAAAATTTCAATTGGAACAGAATCTCTCCAAGTGTTTGTTAATGAAAAATAAAATTGCTTTACTTAATTGTTCTCAAGACGTCGAACGAAGATTTCCTTCTGACCCGTGTCTTTTTTCAGACTTCTCAATTTCGCAGCAAAAATAACCCTCATCCCCGCGATGTATTCTTAAACGCGATTCTAAAATATTCCACCTCTCGTTATTTATGCTGCCAATGATCCTCATGACCTACTGCGGCCTATCAAATATTCAGTCACTATTGCTTTCAATCCTGTTCTCATTGCGAAATTGTACGCCTTAGACTCCGTCGTGGCACGATTTCACAGGGTTACAAAAATTTTCAATCGACCTACCGCAAACTGGTGCAAAAGTTCACTACGAACACCGTTAAGCAACGTTCTATATCCTTCGTCGTTAAACTCCGTACATAATCGAGGAAAAATGAAAAGAAAGTCGAAATGAAAAATAATCACGACAGTCGATCGCGAATGAGGAATCAATCGAGCGTTAGTCAGTTAGCATCGATTGAGTCGGAAAGCAGTGCAAACATTATTTGCCACCACGTAACTCGTCATCGTACCACGACTGGTCCATATCCACGAACTTCAATCCACTTAGGCGGACTCGGAAAGTTCTCCTTACCCCTTGCTGTTCCTTCCTCACGGCCGCCCTATCCTACTCTCGCAACCATCTCTCTATCTCTCCGTTCCTCTCAATTGCCAGAATAGGAACCCAACTTGGTAGAAACGAAGTTAGCGCGAACCGCAATCGATATAATAGCGGCCGAATCCGCGGAGCTGTGATGTCCAGCCAGAGTGTAGCAGGGTTAGGAGAGGGTGGAACAGTACCTAGGAAGGGGTTATTCGTGGCTCTGCAAAGGGGGGGGGGTAGTGAAACGTTAATTATACATTGAAATTAGTTGCAGAGTTTGCCCTCTGCTTGGCTGGCTAGTCTAGGACCACTAAGTATGGACGACGGGCGAGCCTTAGTCCGAGCCTGGTCAGAGATAGTTGATATTATATTATGTATATCGGCACATCTTGATTGCACAACATTATGCGCCGTCACATCGTGCAGATTTCACGATCAGACCTGCTACGACTGATTTACACCGAGAAATTCAAAGGTGTACTTAATGACTGAGGGATTATTGTTAGAGATTTCTTGTTCGTTCACTGATTGCTCGAGATACCTGCTCCTCTATCTCTGGGTCGTTTAATTAAATTTCTTAGTTAAGGTTCATCAAACATTGTGACAATTTGAAAGGGTCGATTTTGGAAAAATCTTTATTAAAATGGGAAACGTTTTAATTATTCCAAGTACATTTCCTTACATTCCTGAAGAACGGAAATCACCTGAGATCTAAAAGTAAAATGATTCATCGGTGCATCTCGCATCAGGCTGCGAACCGAATAATTCATTGAACCGAGCACACGTATTCGCGAAGCTGTTCAAAGAATAATCAATTCACGTGACACGTTGAACGTCGACTCAGGCCTGGTTTTGAACATGAACGAAGCCTGAATGGATGTCAATCAATGGATCGTTTTGAAAGCCGAAGAGAACACGGACGCATAAGAAACAGAAGGCTTACCTTGCGACGTGGGGATAAGAAGCTGAGCCCCTTGAATGCCTTGAACCAATTGACCGGACGTTAGGATGAATTGAGGCATCGCGACCGATTGTGGTTGAGATAATAGTTGAGGTAATGTCGCCATTGGCGCCGAACTCGGTGGCAGAAGATGAGGTGCAGCTGTCGTACTCGAGGCTGTTGGTACGGTACCGCCTGAACAGGAAAATTCATTGGCTGAGAATAAGGCATTTAGCTGGTTCTGAATAAACGATAAATCTACTGCTGACGATACGAGAGGCAAATGTTCGCTGAGGGTGTCAAGTTTCCTGTTACTTTACCAGAAGAGCTGACAGTGAGATTCAGGGGCGTGTTGATGAGCTGATTGTTAGTCAATCCTGCTGTCATTCCCTGGAGACCTGCAGCCAGGGATGCCACCTGTGGCAGGTTCTGCAGATTCGCCAGATTCTGAAGATTTTGCAGGGTCACCATGCCGGCCACTGATAACGAATCAATACGAACATAGATTTACATAATTTTAAAAGATAGAAAAATTTGTACGAAATAAAAATCTGTTTAATCAACTCACTGATTGACTCACTTGTGCCGTTGAGATGTGCCTGCGCGACAGCCGCCCGTTTCGCGTGGTGTAGATTTTCAGGTGACGGACTACATCGTCCCTTTCGCGAATTCTTCATGTCGTCCATCATCATCTGATGCTCGTGAAGCGAGCTTCCGGTAGTGGCAGCAGGTTCAGGACTACCGGCGCTACTCCTGTCGCTGTCCTGTAACAGAAATAACAATCGAATCGTAACTGTATCGAGAAAAAAAATGAAATCGCGTTGTTTGGGAATTGTTGCAAGTCGAGGAAAGCAGCAGGGAGAATATTAATTACGATAGAAGGGGCGAATACGAGCGGCAGACGAAGAGCCGGGATTCCGTGCTGTCAACGACGAAAATGGTGATACTTCATTTCGTTTATTACGCCGCGTTTGAAACCCCCTCGCATTTCGGCCGTATTGATAACAATTATAAAATATTCGACGCCACGCACCGAACAAAGTGCTTTCGACTATATACGTCGTCGCAAATTCCGAGCACGGCATTCAAAGCTTTTCTGTGACTTTTCATCGGAAACAAGCGATTGTAGCCGAGACAAGTCATCAGTGATGTTAATTTACTTATGGATAATTTTTACTAATATATTTCCTCTTTCCATAAATAGTATCACTATTCATTTCGAATGTTAACACGAAAGTCAAAGTGTCAATTTGAAGTTTGTATTTCAGTTTACGATTGTCAGACACGTTGGTCAATGAAACATGGCGCGTTGCAAAGGGTTCGTTTAACGAAGGTCAGGTTACCTCTTTCCTCCACCAAAAGTTCCGACTTTCTACCTGTTTAAGGACCGTCGAAACCAACTTACCCCAAGGGAATTCGATAATCGTTCCAACTTTCGATGGCACTCGGCGAGTTTTCAACTTTATAAATTATTGATCCTCATTGTGGCGATATATTTAATAGCCCCTGAGTATCTGACCTAGTCCAGGCAATTTTCGAATTGAAAATTACACAAGATACACAAAAATTTATTCTCATTGAAAGATCCTCCCCTATTAATCTCCCAAGTGTTTAGAAATACTGCTCCTTATTCTCACGCCCTTAAAAAATTATGAAATTTACCAGAATGGATTGCAGCAGCGGAACGAGCTTCAATTAACATTTTCCCATGATTTTATTCAATTTTCGGCCGCACAAAGCCTCGTTTCGGCACGCTAATCCAGCATTCTAAGCGACTCTGTACGATCGCGCCGGTTATTTGAAGCGTCGCCCGTGACGTGGCTCTCTAACCATTAAAAAAAAAAAAAAGGAAAAAAAAAATTGAGGCTGTTCAAGTGGTCCTCCCCATCGTTCTCTCTCTCCTCCATATTTTTTTTCCTTGCTGGCCAAAATCAATCGAACGGGCACGCAAAGGTTTTAGCACAGGCTCGCAATCATTCTCGCCAAAATGCTCAATTATACGCGCGTGGTTCGTTAACGTACCACGCTTTTTATTGCGGCGGCACGTTTAACGCTGAAAATTGATTAATAATCATTCACGGTCCAACTGGCCGACGTTAAAATGCTTCGCTACGAAATAATGGCGGTAGACGTACACACACGCGCAACGTGGATGTTGAAAAAAGAAAAAATAAAAAATGAGAGGAACAATGAAACCGCGCGACGAATCATCGATGAATAGAAAAATTGCTGGCGAAGCGTCGTTCGAAACACTTGCCCCGTCCCAGGACCGATAACAAAGACTTGCCTTTCTCGAATCGAATTTATAATGCTCGGACGTGTGGGGCTCGATTCTCTTGCAAAATGACGCTTGTTACTTATGATCACCTTTTCTTACCATATTTCAGAAAAACGAAGGACAACTGATTTTACATTGCATTACCAAAAATTGTGTAAGTACGTTAGTTTTATATTTTATTCTGAAACGTTAGTAATTCAACTGTAAATACTGACAAAGGAAGATCCTGGACGCACCTGTACACGGTCTGGCGACGACTGCGATATTTACAAAGGTAGGTGCGTCTGATAAGAGTATCAATTGCCTGTCAATGACAACAATACTTCGGTGATACCGATTTGACCCTGGCTGACTGACTTTGTCAAACTGTAACTGAAATTTCCGATTGATTGTAATTTCTTTAACAGCTACAATTTAAATTTCTATAATTTTGCCTATTTTGATTTATAATTTGACCAATTGCATCGGACTGCACAACTGCAGTTCGGTTCGCGGATCGAACGGTAACGAACGCTAGAGGGGAAGGAAAAAAAGCCATAGAAAAGAGTGGCGTGTATTAATCATTCGACCTGCCCTTAGTATCCCCGTGTGTTCGTGCCGCGGCGATATATAATTCATGCATATTTACGGGATGCCGGTGGAATAATTAACGAACGGCAGCGCATTAAGGCGCGTCCCTTGTATACGTACGTGCACGTACAGTCGGCTTCTTAGAAGACAATCTAAATTATAATAAATCGATGGAGTAGTAGGTGCGGTACCGCGACGCTTTACCGCCACCGTGTATAACCGATGCCGGTTCTACCGAGTAATGTTACCCGCCGCGGCCCCTTTGCATAATGGCATGGAAATATCCCGGAACGTGTATCGCCATAGTTGGATACAGATTAAGCGTGTTAGAGCTTCGACACACGGCTAATTCGCGAAAAAGGACCTCTAACCCGGCTGGCTCCGACCCATGAATAAATTCCGCAGCTTTTCACCAGCTGCTAAAGCAACCGAACGACGAGACCGTCATCTAATTTTATGTATTCCTGATTTTTACCTTTCATTTTTTCTACAAACGCGAGATAAAAGTAAAAAACGATGATTTCCGGAATTTCTGAAAGGTGGAAGTTATCAAGCGATTCGAACACCAGTCGCCACCATTTTTTATATATATATATATAAAAGGCTGAATATCCCTTTTTCCGGGGCGCTGTAATTTCGAATTTTCGTCAAAGTCGTACAATGGGACGGGCGGACGGCGGCAGCGGTTCGGGGCATTTCATTGCATAAAAAATAGATAAAGCCCGGTCGATAGGTAACGAACGAAAATAGGAGGCGCAGGAGCCGCGGCGGTAGTTCAATCTTTTTTTCCACGCAAATTCGTAAACGGCTGCTATACCCGACGGTATGGCCACCCCATATTAAATGGATGAGGCGAGGGGGATTAGTTGAATGCACAGGCCCGGCCATTTTGCTTGTAAAAGTGCGGCCCGATATATAGTAAGCCGTAGAAACGTATGTTTACGGGCTTTCGGCATTTCGCATAAATTAATCAGTCGATCACCGTCCCCTATCGCTTCCGAACAACGAACCCACTTCTGTCCTCCACCGGATGCCAGCGTGACGCTTAACTTCCGGAGAATAGAAACTTGATTAACATCGAAAGCTTCTATGTTTGGAATTTTTCAAGAATAAAAACGAATCCGCAACATTTTTATCCAACAATTTTCAATGAAATAACCATTTCAATAATAAATATTGTAAGATGTTTAAATTATTTCCATCTAACTAATTATACAATAAATACATCATCTGCATTGTTAAACAACGAGTTTATTTCTGGAATAAAAACACAAACAGATCATTTGGAAAAAAATTGCGGAAACGAGAACGGGCTTCTCCCGTGCATAATTCACAACTGCCTCTCATTGACTTCATTACTGTTTCTAATTGTTGTTCATTCATTCCCGTATTTTGGCAGCCGCTTCCAATTCCGTTAACAAGTTCGCTCCTCGTTCTAATTACCCCAGAATAAACTGCTCGCTTCAAGTATCCTAAATATACTAACAAAACAGGACGAAAAAGTTTGTTGCATTTCGAAAACGGTACTGCCTCGTTTGAATGTCTCTAAAGTTTGCGAATTTTCTATTAAAACATTGACCCACTTTCGTTCCGTCGAACTGTCATTTTTAATGACAAGAAGTTTGAAATATCAAGAGAAATATATAAAATATAAAAATATGAAATATTAAACAACAGAAGAAGCAAATCTGATAGATCGAAGTGAGCAAACTTGTTCGATACAAGGGGATAGGATAAATTCTTTAAAAAAAAAAAAAAAAGAAACTAATCCGCGACCTTTCACACCTTCGAAAGCACGCCGATTTACAGGAAGCAGCGGAGTCCGGAGCAATCGGAACACCGGCCATCAGCGACAATGCCCGGCCGAACGAAATAATAACGCTTTAAATTTCGCGGGAAGGATCGTTCGTTGGTCGGTTCGAGCAGTAAAAAATCGTTAGCCAGCCCTCACGGGCCATCTCGCTAATGCGAAAAACCGTGCTGCATCGAGAGACAGAACGCGAAAGAGGGAGGGAGAGGAGCGGATCGGATCAGAGGGTGGACGACGGAGGGGTGGTATGTGTGTAGCAGGACGAACACCGAGGGGGATGGGAGGACGAAAAAAAAAAAAAAAAAAAAAAAAAAGAGCGAAGCAGAAAAAGGGCGGCGTTGCGAGCGACGTTAGTGTGGGATCGAGGGGGTGGTGGTAGGATTGGGATACACGGTCGTTGGAAATGCAACAATAAACATTACTTATCGGCACGGGAGCCTTTAACAATGCGGATACGACGAGAGAAGCGGCTCGCGGCCGCGCAAAAGCGCAAGTTTTTTGCAATAAAGTCATTTCGAGGCGTTTGAGTTATGGGTAATTCGTGTGGAACGCGCGCGACCAACCAACACAGAAACAAAGAGTAAAAGGGATAGAGTGTAGAGGGTTGAAGTGAGAAAGAGGCTGGGTCCCGGCTCCATTGATTAGTATTAATGACTTAGCTGCACTCATTTCGCCCGAATAAAAGTAATTGGATTTGGCTTCGACCCCGCGAACCGCGCCACTGGTGCCTGGCCGTCGGTGGCGTCGGCGTCCGTGGCGGCGTCGCTGGCGTCGGCGCAACGAAAACGGCGGCCACCGTGTAAAAATACATTAATATCTGTTTGCGCTTAATAAACGATAGCCCCGCTGACTTCAGACTAATGGCCGTATTCCGGAATCGGTAATACGCGTTTTTATGTTTCTTTCTCTATACAACGTAACTACCCCCGGTCGCGAACCCACCTATACGCTTATTTCTCGCCAATCTTTCGTTTCGATCGATCTTTCTCTCTCTATCCGATACACCCGCCGCTATATTCGTTTGTTTGGTTGCGTTTTAAAAGGTTTTCAGGACGGCTTTCTCGTTCGAACAGGGGATTAGAGCTTTCTGCTGGATCGCCAACGAG